TGGCGACATGATATATATATATATATTTATGTATGTGTTCTAGTTATATAGTTAAAAAAATGTATATATATATATATAGATGGATGGATGGATAGATGGATGGATGGATGGATGGACAGATAGATAGATAGATAGATAGATATTTTCGAGATGTGTGTGAGATTTTATGCCCTTGTGATGCCCTTGTGACCTCGTGGTTCAGGTTTGGGGGGGTATCTTGTGTTTCGAATCTATGGGAGGGAAGCCTGGTACGTTCTAGATTGTTTTCAAACATCCAATCCTTAAGGCACAGCCAATGAGTTGGTGCCTTGACATTTGTCAAGATATTTGTTAAGTGTATGTCGTGGGTCATGGGTCATGTCTGTAGTGTTTGTAGTGCACATGTCGGATCCGATGACTCGATGTTGACAGCTCCAGGCAACTACGAGGCCAGCTTGGCCTTTGATGGCCTCACGAGCACTTGCTGGTGGAGCAGCTCGACAGATCCTGGGAGCTGGATTGGTTTGCACGTGAAGACCGCCGCCCCTCGGCGTTCGAAAGAAGGAGTCGTGGAAGAGGATGTGGATGGTGGTGAACGTGCAACAGACTCTCATGCAACTGTATCTCAAAATGCCTAGCAGGGGGTCTGGATGGATGGTCGCCCTCCGTTCAGCAAACACATGAAAATAGAAAAGCCAAAGGCAATACATGCTACAGCGAATGCCAATGCTACCAGCTGGAAGGACGTACTTGTGAAGAATGGAGAGCTTTGCGCTTTCACACCAGTGCTGTACCTAGTAGATTGTTTGAAGCCTTGCCTGAGGCCCTGTATGCGCGATCTGTGCGGCTGGTGGGCTTGAGTGGAAAGGTTAACCCTGACACAATCTACGTACAATTCTACAAGGAAGGCGCGCATATTCCTTTTCACCCGGAAGGGAGTGTGATCTCGGAATCGATCCGAATAGACAAGGTTCCAAGTGTTCTTGAGTTCAATTCTGTTTGATAGCATTCTCAGAAACATACATGAGACAGCGGGGGGCAGCATTGATTGGGTAAAGGTTAGCACCACATGTCCAATGTGACGTGTGTGCTGCATACGTTGAGCGCCAGGCCTGTGGTACACACTGCAGAGCTTCACGTACACGGAGGCCTGTGTTGAACTGACCTCGGACTTCTCCACGATCTTCGGAAATGAATTCGACACGGTGGCCCCGACCATTCTCAGTCGCTTCGCTGAAGAAGTAAGGCCTCAAAAGGGCCAGATGCCATCGGCTGGAGCTTTTAGTCAACAGTGTTGAATGCTATCAAAAGCTGGCACTTGTTGCACTATTGAAGATGTTTGCTTGAACTCCCATTTGCACACTGGTGCGTAGGTGTGCATGAAATCATCATTAAAAAACCGATGCTAATGGTGCTATGATTGAGAGTCAACATAGCCTGCATTATGGACTTTGTAGGCATCTTCCAAAGAGGTTCGCAAACTAGAGAGCGAGAGGGATATTGAGCCAAGGCAGCATTCCTGATCTATCTACATCCCTGACAGTTAGTGACACGCAGCGTTTGGCCCTCTACTTTTCTGAGCCCATCGTGATCATGTCTGGAAGTGAAGTCAAACTGGTGGAGCAGCTTTTGCACAGTCTATTTTCCTTTGTCGAACCAGCAAAGCATTCCTTTTTAAAGCATTTTTGAGAGGGTTCTCTCCCTCACTTGTAGACACCATCCAGTTTCACAATTGAGGTGGATGCTGGGGCTGATGGTCTCTGCAGCACCTCTGATGATGTGATCCTCTCCATTCCGGCAGACCTGCCCACCGCATATGTGCGGAACGGGACTGACCCATGGGTCTACGTCACTGGCAATATGATTCTAGTGAGGTATCCCTACCAAAACATGGAGGCAGGAAACTATCATTGCCTGCAGGCAGGGTCCGACAAGCTGTTTTCTTCTTGTTCTTACTTCTAAAGCAAAAAGCAGAAGAAACTGCAACCACACATATGTTTTATACTATCAATCAGAAAACAATTGAGCCTGAGCCTCACACAGTTTCAAGCGACTGCCAGGTGGATCCTGCTGTCATCCAAGACTTAGCTGGCACACCCTTTCCAGGGCTCTTGGAGAATGACTTTCGCTCCTTAGATGTGAATGAGGGTGTTTCTTTCAATGAATGAGAGCCTCCGGCAAACGGAAGTCAACTAGACCAGAAGCCATTTGTTGAGGCTTAAACCTCTATAGTAGTACCCCAACAAGGCATGCTGGACCAAAAGACGCAAGCCAAGCAAGGCTTTCTCGTGGCTGCTACGCCCTTCTTGGATGAGACAGCGCCGGTGTTCGTGGCCACGGATCCGCCCACGGGTTCCACCATGGAGGGGCTGCAGCTGATTACATTCAAGATCTTCATGAGTGACTGGAACAAAAATGAAAGAACGGATCTTCAAGGTTCTCTTTCAGATCTTCATTTCAAGATTCTGTCAGAATCATTGAGATTCTCTTTCAGAATCTTCATGGCAGTCTTGAGAATGTTGAAGAAAAGGACACACATGGATAAGTACTCCACAAAAGGATACACATGGATACGTATGCAGCAAGTAGAGGCCTAGGCTCAACCTGCTGCTGGATACACCCATGCCCTGTAGGGGATCCACTTCCCCAACTAAAAGGGTCACAACTGCTGAAATCCATCTATATTGATTAAGCACTGCCTTGAGGTGTTTAGGATTGGACTTTGTTGCTTCAAGGATAGAATTAGGGTGAGCATCAAGAGTGGATACTCTAGGAGGTCTGCCCCAACTTCCAGCTGTAGAACACATGGCGGTGAGCACTGAGACTCTTGGAAAAGGACATATGCGAAAGAGAAGGATTCGATGGTTGGTCATGTCATGCCTTGCAATCAAAAAAAGACTGTCCATGGACAAAATTTGAATTTAAGTGAATATCTTGAAGCATTTTGCTATTTACTGTAGCAGGGAATGGGGAATGGATTCCCAAAATCAACTTCCGGTGTAGCCCGCCAGGTAGAACCATGCTCTTTCCTGATCCAAATCAATTTTTCAGACGACTAGGCCAGACATGCCATGTTTTTTCGATTTGATCAACGGCTAAGGTGAAGCCATTGCTCCCTGCGACGAAACCTTGATGGTGCAGACGGCGCAGACACCTGGAGCTCATGAACCTTGGGCTTTGAGGCACGGAACATTCAGATCTCAGTGCATATCCCCCTCTTAAAAGCTCAAGCATAGGGAGTTTGATAGTGACAACCGAGAGTTGCCCTCGATTGAACCGATTTGAATGCGCCCTGTCACTACAAAAACGCTGGGGGGCGGGAAGAGCAAAACGCTCTTCCATCCACATATTTCAAAGGGTGACCAACTCAGTAATCCAAAACAGCTCAAAGGCGCTTGGTTTGAGGCTGGCAGACGAAAACAAGCAATCTGCCCAAATCACAGTGGTTTTGGGTAAAGGTGGATGAAACAGATTGCTCTCAAAGGCAGGCATTGGCTCACAGAAGACAAATTCCTTTTTGCTCTATCAATGGTTTAAGCCCTTAATAGGACAAAGTACGAACATCTAGCAGGTATAGAAGTTGGCGCAGGAGGTCTTTCTGGCACCTGGTAAATGGTATGAACTGCCTTTCCAGCCACACGAGGAACTTTACTTGGTATCGCTCTTGGCCAATGGCACTGAAGACCCATCAGGAGATCGATTGACAATCAGCTTCACCCCCGACCCAAGCGTGTTGACACCACATACCTTCAGCATCAGTGATTCAGCTACTGAAGTTGCAAGAAGCAAGGTTTTCTTTTCCTTCTTTAATGCTTCCTACCCATGCAGGGCTTGATTTGCTGGCCGAGTTGATCTTTCATCCCGTCAGTTGGTCCAAAGAGGTCGACATGTGACCGATCTGCCGTACCGGTTTTGTCGGCGGACTATGGATATCCCTTGCCATGTTTTATTGCAAGGTTCGTTCAAGCTGGCTTAGGTCATCACTGTGAGCCTGAATCGAAGCTTGCTGATTGGACATTCCTACTCGTTGCAGATCCCAGAAAATTCCCTGGCGCCTCGGCAGTAAGCGCGTGTGGAGCTTCTTTTCTACTCCCCTTGTACATAGAACATTCATCTCAACATGGAAAACTGCCAAGAGTTCAAGAGTTCCCAAAGTTAGCAAGTCGCCCTTGTTTCGTATCTTCTGTTGGCAGTTCTTTTCCAAATACATTAGCATGAACATCCCATACTGCATGGGTATCCTAAGACCAATTTCTTCACCACTGGAAGCTGTACTTGAAACATCCTAAAAGCATCCCTCACCCTGGGCTTTCCTGAAAACCGGTTCAGACCGTTCAGGTGGACCTTTCGACCACCACGGTCTTCGACATCACCGGCGCCCCGGTGCAGATCCCCCGGAACTTCGCAGGGCTCCCACTGGGCGAAGTGATCTTCCATGTGGTGGAACCGGTGCTGGCGCCCTGGACAGCTCGGGTGGATGGGATCAGATGGGATCAGATGGGATCAGGTCAGAGAGGGCTGGTTCGGCTTATGGTTCTGGAGGAAACAAGCTGAGAAGGACTGGCAGTGGGAAAGCCACCGTCGCTCTGAGTATGGGTTCTCTAAACTACTCTTTTTTAAACTTGCAATAATTTGTAATATGTATAAACTTGCATTATTTGTAATATATATATATATACATACATATATAGTGTCACAATTGTTCTTGTTTGTCTTTGTTATCACCAACCATTTTTGGTGTGGGTGAACTATTTTTTGTCTTGCGCTGCTAAGGCAGGCGTGCCAATCCAAAACTTAGCCTTCCAACGCTTCAAAGTAGATTCAGTAATAATAGGCGCAGTTTGGGTGTCCTAATGGTACCAATTAATCCACATCTCTTGAGATACCGAGATACCTGCAGAAACCCAGTTTGATTGGCCCTAAAAGTCATGATGAGACATTCCGACACTCCCCTGCCCCTGTCATCAAAGCTGTTCTCTGAGGAACGAAATCCCTACAAGAAATCAACAATCCCCATCTGGGCCGAAGCTGAAGTTGAGATGCAGCGCCCCGATGAAGAGCCGTTGATCCCCTTCGTGGTGGATCGCTGCTACATTGAGCCCAACTGCTCGAATGACAGCAATGGCACCGTGGACTGCGGGAATGGCACCAACGCTACGATACTAGGCTGGTCTGGTGGTCATGCTGGAAGATTTGAAGATACCCTATCGATGGCCTCCTTTTCATCCATCGATCCAGTCCTCTCAAGGCCTCCAGGAAACTTGTATATCTTTCTGCAGGGATCTTCGCAATTTGAGTGTGCAGCGAGCCAGCTATGATCGTTCGTTGGTGCCTCTGCAATTTATATTGTTGAGTACCTCCAACCGGAATTTTCGCTCCTTTTTGGTCAGTTCCCAGTCGCACTGTTGAAGGTGTCTGTGGGATGATGCCACAGAGTGGCGATGGCTATTTGGCCGTGCGGGAGAAGGCACTGTGGCTGGAGCCCTACCATTGGCGCCTCAGCGATGGGTGGCCGGACATGGGCGATGCGGGTCGCGAGTGGTGATTGAAAGCTGCGATTACACCATGGTAGGTACTGACAATGGTTGGTGTTTGGGCGTTGAAGAAAGAGCAGAAAGCAAAACAAGAGAACAAGAGTAGATGAACAGTTATTTTTCAAGATCAGTTTTTTTCATGCTGAGTCTCAGTGGGTCGCAGCTGTTGCAAAGTTTGTTCTACCCATACTAACTCCGAGCATGATCCCACATCCGATAACTCAAATCTGGAATCTGCAACGATGACGACCTGGTGGGCAGGGCCCATTGAGGGTTAGGGCCGTCAATCCTGCTTAAACCATCAATTTCCATACTTATGATCATGTCGGTTTTGAAAGTTGTACTTGCTCCTTTCGGCCCCCCTTGTGAGAGCCATTTGTGGCCATATGAAAGAAGGTTTTCTCCAGGAGAAAGCACCTCCCTTGAGTTTCAACAAAAGCGTGATTGCGGGAATACCAAAAGTTCAAGTTTGTGTCGGGACATCGTTGGGATGAGCAAACTCTTGTGGACATCAGGCATTCCGTGCCTTTCTCTTGCACAGCTTTTGCAGCTTTTGTTCACCAAGGCTGGGTGTGACCACGGGGAATGGAACATCTTTCCGTGTGCAGCTGGACGTGTCTTCCGTGAACTCGCCTCCGCTCATCAAAGCTCGATCGCTAGCACCCAGATGATGTGTTATTGGCGACTGGCGGGGCCGGGCTCTAGCCAACTCTCTGGAGTGGGCGGAAATCGTTGAATATTGAAAGCAACTTTGATGGATGGTCATGATCGGAGCTTCAAACCACACAGTCTTGCTGCTACTCCTCGAATTGACCCACAGCAAACAACCACAATGCATGTTTCCACCCCAACCAACCCATTTTGGAACCTGCAGGTGGGGTGCTCACAGGTGTCGTCCTTGGCGATGTTCCATCCCTCAGGCGTTGAAGGTCGATGCGGGTCTGATGACTCTCCTGGCGGCTGATGATGGCGGAGCTCCCCTGACCTTGGAGGAGCGTTTTGGGGCCAGCTCCGAGAGAGGCGGCAAGAGCCCTCTCCTTTTAGGGAACTTCAGCTTCCCTAAATATCTAGGAACCAAATGAATAGAAGCGTGAGCTATCCTGCGTCCATATGTAGAAGCTACTTAAGCTACTAGCTACCTCAGTTCCCTAATTTAATTATATAAATAGCTAGTCTCCACTTGATTATGTAGGGAGGGTGGGTAAGAGCGAGCGAACAAAAAACATATAAAAAAGGACTTCAGAGAACTTCCTGTTGGGGAGTTGGGGCCATGGGTGTGATATGCGATGGTTTGGGCAGCAGGGTGGTGATTGGACCATATGTGTGGCATTTGTGTGTCCAAAGCGTCGCTAGGCCTGTCCAATCTGGCCAAAGCTTTGGTGATGCAGACCAAATTGTTAAAGCCGCATCAACCATGTAAACCACGATATGACAGGTATGTAGGTTGGTAGTGCTTCTATGAGACTCTTCTTGCCCCATGGTGGCACCTTGAACTTGGAGGACGATGATGTCGGGGAACTGTATGTGGAGGTGATCCTCGAACCTCAAGGAGCGCTAAGCATACTTCCTTCAGCTTGGCGGGAGACTTTGGATTAGCCCATCAGATAATTTTTTGTGTTTCACCTTCTTGTTCGAGCGACTTTTGGTGTTTCACCGTGCCTCAAGTGATGTGCAAGTGAACCTAGACTAGACCGCTAGACCACATGTCGCCGGGCGCAATTCAAACAGCTCAATAGCCTCCACTGGTCACTGACATCTTAGAGACTTCAATGAGTTTTGAAGATCTAAGGACTGGACTGGGCGTGTGAACGTCACCTTCGACTTCCCGCGCGTTCAACCGGACTACGGCTCGTTGGGCCAAGGGGATTGGTCTCCCACCACGGTGGAGGGAAAGCCTGCAGGCAAGCTGTCATTTCATGGTGCCTTGGTGAAGATGTCCGGCCGCGAAGGCTCCTCGTAAAGTAAAAGCGCATCTTTCGTCATCGGTGTTGGGTGAACAAATGCTGTTTGCACTCGGTGACGCAAATCAAGAGGCAAGAGGGAAGCTGCCCACACAAAGCGCTAAGATGAGCCATGTGGACAATCTTGTGTGCATGCATACTGATTGAAGTGTGAAGTTTTGATTGCTTGCCTATCAACTGGGCAGATCAAGCTTTCAATCATATTTCAACCTCATCATCCAAACCATAGAGGCCAGGCCTCACAAAACCGCAGGCTACCGTCCGGCCAAGGTGGTCTGCTCTCAGTGCAAGCAGCTTTGGCCAACCTCACCTACACAGCCCCTGGTGATTTTGAAGGCTATGGGCTCATGAAGGCCTGGTAGTTTGGATTAAACACAGTTTCTCCCTCTTTCAGCTGGAGGGTGCATAGGTCATAGGTGCAAAGGTTTGGAGATTGGCACCCAGATGGTGGGAGGGCTGAGGTAAGAGGTTCAATCAGCTGAGTTCGTTCGCAAGATGTGAATCCCTAGGTGGTGGTGCGAGATGGGGTCTACATGCGGGAGGACATTGGAGAGTCGGGCGACCTGCGTTCATGTTCCTAATGGTAGATGGGACAGATGTAAAGAAAGAAAACGATGCTAAACAAAAGCCTTTAAAGATTGTAAGAACCCGATGAACAACAAAAGTGCTAAAGAGCTGTCTTCGACTGCCCAAACACTAGCGAAGCCACATTTGGTTGACACATGCAGACCGATTCCTGACATGCCGGAGGAATTGATATTGCTGGTAGCGACTCCTCCGCACTGCTGGTGATGCTTGCTGTAGGCTTCGCAACAGAAGTGAGTGAATTTGAATTCTTGGCTAGTGACGTCCACAACAAAAGGCCGTGCTCCATCGCAACTAACTTCAAGAGCCCTAGCGGCCCTAGCTTCTAGCTTGCCTTCTGGTTCTTGCTGTGTTCCGCAGACCAAGGTGCGTTTGCCCAGCAGTGGTCTCCAAGTGCTCACCAGCGGCTATGGCACAAGTGCATTGGCCTTCGAGGAGCATGATTTGGACACCATGGGATGTGATTGGAGTGTGCAAGATGGTGACGGAGCCTTGACAGGTCGAGAACTCAGTGTCGGGCATCTACAGTCTAGACACTTCCCAGCTGATTGTGGCTTCGCCTGTACCGTGCAACGTGTTCGGGCTCTTTTGCCGGGTATCAATACCTTCTTACTTTTGGGTGGTTATTCAATGTATTCAACAAGTAGCTCAGTTGGACGGAACGTCTTACGATTCCTGAGAGAGTGTGCAACAGTGGTATCCTGAGCAAGATCTCTACAGCATGGGGACTGTCAAGACAACAGTCAATTGTATTTCAATCCAAACGACCAAGAGGCTTTGAAGCAAGAAACACACCCGATTTCCCAGGTCAGGCCACATACCACTTGTCGATCTATGTGAAGGACCGAGTTGCTACATGGCGAGGTTTCCTTCAAGCTCCCAGAGTGATGATCTGTAGGCAACATCCATGTTCGTTGATGTTTCGTGAGGCGAAAAGGACGTTTCTCCAAGACATCGAGTGACGGGTGGAAATGTATGGAATATCAGCAAAGACGAGAAGAGCCTTGAAGCTGTCGATGTCTTCTGGACCAAGAATTGACCTGACACCCTGACATGAGTGCTGCTGGTTTGGTTCTCCTGCATCCTTCATTCCAAAAGACATGAACCCCCAATCGTGAGGGAATTGCAGTCTGACCCCTAAAAGAAACGCCTCCTAGAGAAGATCGCTCTAGATTTTGGCTTCAGATCCGCAGTTCTGTGTTTTCTCTTTTGGTGCTCTTTATCTCCTCTCTTGGAGGATCCCTTGGCTTGCTCCTTCATTGACTTCGAGGATTGCACCTCCCGAGCCTCGGGCAGTGGCCAATGCATGGATTCTGCAGAGCTCTCTGCCTCGAAGGTGGAGAGTTCCGTGTCGACGAAGAGGGGCTATCGAGTGCTGCATCTCTATTCCCCGAGTCTCGAGGCGCGGTGTGTTTTTTCCTCACGGATTTTTTCTTTCCGGAATCATCTTAGCATTCGTGTTTCACATTTTGTTGAGGATTAGACGAAGCATGGATTTGTGTATGTGTTGGGATCTGTGAAAGCTTGAAAGCCAAGCAGAGCTTTGTCAATGTGTCTTTCCGCTATAGAGTCTTCTCAGTGAAGCCTTGTTTGGCTTTTGGTGCTAGCCAGGTGGCTCGGGCCTTTCTAGAGAAATGTTCAGAAGGGAGGCCTGAAAGACGGCATCACAGAACTCCAATTTTCTCCTGATAGCCTTGGTTTTACAAAGATAGCCTTGGTTTTTCCACAAGATTTTAAGGAAGTTGACCCGTTTGGACGCGGGACACCCCCCATCTTCAGCGTTTGCTGTGCATCACCATCGCTTCGCGTCAGACCACACGCCCGGCCTGAGAGGTGCTTCAGCACCACCTCAACAAGTCAATGGTCTTTCATGCCTGTAATTGCTCAGCCATGGAGCCTAGGCTACAGATTCGCTGAAGAATGACGGCATAAAACCATAAAACTGTGTACTTTAACCGTGGGATTCATGATGCATCATGCCGGGTGTCTTCGTGGCTAGAAGAGTAAGCATAATAAGCTGTTCACAGGTCAGTGGACTTTGGGGTGCACTGACTTCGTTCCTTGAGTTCTGAGAGGGGTCAGCACGAGATTCCAGAACTGCTACTGACAACATCATTGCCATGGAGTATCAAAGTTGGGGTCCTCCCAAATGCATTGAGACAACGGAGACAACGGTTCATCCTTTGTTTTGGTAGCTTGAAGCAAGACCTGCTTGGCTCTGGATGGTCAAGCTTCCCTAAAAATCTAGGAACCAAATCATTAGCGCGAGCTATCCTGCATCCTAAGTAGTAGCTATTTAAGCTACCAGCTACCTCTAGTGACCTCACCACCTACCCCCCCCCTAAAGCAAAGAAAAAGGAGATTGCTCTCGCTCCTTCACTGGAGGAACGCTTCGAGTGCAAGCAAACCATGTTCCTAGCGGTGGACCGGATGAGTCGGGAAGATCTCTCAGTGCAAGACATGGCCGAAAACACCTGCGAGGCACGTGGCCGTTTTTTGAGTTTTCCATCATCCTCAAAGTCCAAAGGATTGAGAGTCTCCGAGAGCGTGGAGTATGAGAAGAACCACCCCTGGCAAGGTCACGGTGGTATCGCCTCTCTCGATCTTCGTTGCCTTGCGGGGACCGCCGCTGAAGCTGCCAGCCCGAGAAGCCTGAACCCAGTCTGGCGGGTTCAGGGGTCTAGTTCAAGGTCGTTTGTTTGCTGTGCTTGTTTTCCTTTCCCATATGCCCACAAATATGAACGATGTCCCGAAGCCTAAGCGACAGCGTAGAAACTTGATGGCTATTCTACTTTGTAAGAGACCTCCAGGAATCTGAAAGGAAACGGGTCTGAAATGGGCCCAACTTGCCCAATCACCATGAAAAAAAGACAGCTCTGCAAGAAGGATTTGGGACTAGTAACGATTTGTTATTTTTACAACATATATGACCATAAGCCTTCCACTTTGAGGTTGGATGAGGATGGCACCTTGGAGCTGGCTGAGCGACTCTACTTTGAGGGCAATGCTCCAGGCCAGGTGCTCAACGAACATCGAAAACTGGCAGAACACCACTGGAGACTGTGCTTGGTGTGGGTGAGTTGTGGCTGAGTTTTCCAAAGCTATGATGGTCTCCTATTGTGTTTCCTGAAATCAACCACCCCTTATTGGTCCAGAGGCAAATGCTTTGGGCACCTTTAATGCCCACCAAAACCTGTCCTCCTTGAAAACTGGTGCGACTAATGGGCCATCCAAGCAATGGCCAGAACTGCTTGGATTGCATTTGCTCTAGTTTTACAAGGCAACCCTAGCCTAACACTGGATCAGACACGGCGTCTGCTATGCATACTTATGACACATCGCATATATTGCATCATGATCCCTGATCAATATTGCATCCTGTATGTTGCGCCCGTCTCAAAAACGCATCCTGCTTCCGCTTGGAGTCCATCACGAAAAACTTATCCCGCGATTCCTTGTCTCTTGTTCTTACGATACCTAGAAGCGATGGCCTCCAACCTACTAGCGATTGCCTCCAACCTATATAATGGCTATGTCCCTTGTTCTTACCATACTCTTCCGAATGTACTCCTGTGACATGTTGTTCAACAAAGGCCATCCCCAGAACTCTCCAGCCTCCAAGGCCCTTCAGACCTTTTAAAGATTAATGTGAAAAATATAACGCGTCAAGTCCCTCCCTTTTCGTGAAGAGCTTTGTTGTTCGGCACTACTTTTGCACCTGCTTGGTTGACAAGGTCCCTTCTGGGTTACCCTCTCGGCTGAGTATGGCAGTGTCACAGCAGAGGGAGATGGAGTGTATAGCAATGGAACCAAGAACTACCTGCACTTCAAGGCCAGAAGTTTGGCCTCAGAGCAGCGAGTGCCGAGGGCAGCCCTCGGGAGCCCTTCTGAGCTTCGCGACCTTGTGATGTTTGCTTGAGCATTTGACTGTCAAAGATTGCTGGAGTCATTTGTGAGGTTGAGCAAAACATCAACCCAAGGCTAAGGCTACGGCAGACAATAAGGCACAAACGATGTTCTCGGACCAGCATGTCCTTGGATCCATCCCATCCAAATGTCCCTGATGAACGGATTTCAACAGGGTGCTTGGCGATTGCCATTTTCCACAATTACAGCGCACGCTCACCCTATTGTGCAGGTGGATACGGTGGAATGGCTCATGGCTTTGATGGAGAGCAAGGAGGAGAACGAGCTGCATTTCAGGGTTCAGAGCTCACCCCACACCTTGCCATCTCTCAGACGGGGAGAATTGACGAAGATCCCAAGCAAGTGCTTTTTTTCTACGGGTTCTATGGTTGTTTCAGTCCGTGCCTTTCGCAGACTCCAGCGTATCCAAAACGAAGGTCCAGCAATTCAGGGCGGTGTCAGTCGCATGCTCGTTTGACTTCTGCTCGTCACCCGCTCTGAAAAGCGCAATAGAACTCAATCCGCTTAGTTTGGAGCTCTTTTTCGATCTGCAAACCAGCCATATAAAGGCCCCACGGACCTCCAGGACTTCTTTTTTGCCGTTCATTGCGGGGCTTAAACCTGAAAGGCCTAAAGGTCCATGGAGCATTTTCCATATGTCTCTTGCTGTCGCCAAACCGTGTGACTTGTGAGGTGAAGTTGCTGCCAGCGCAGCATTTCTGGGGCACTGACTACCTCTACATCGGTCTGCAATCTTCACTCGATCCGCCCAACGCATCCAATGTCGGTGGGCGCGAGCTGACCCTCGGTCTGAACTACTCCATGCAGATTGAGGCACGGCGAGTCTTCAGTGAAATCTGTGTGTCCTGAAATATAGTGTTTTGTGGTGAAGCTTTGACAGACAAGGGGGTGGGCTTTGACAGACATGAAATCTGTGTCGCCCTGCAGGTGGTGCCAAAGAGGGATGAGCCGCAGATTTATATGGCACATGGCAGCACAGCGGTGGCGCAAGCCGACAAAGCGCACCAAGCCCAACTTGGATTTGCGTCAGCAACTTTTCAGTTTCTTCCCCTGGTTCAAGTCTCACAAGTTCATTAAGCTGACTTTCCTTCATTTGCGAAATCAAAGCCTTTAGGCCTCAGAGCCGTCGCCAAAGCAGCCTCGCTTTCCTGTTCTTGTCTGAGGTCAACGCCAGCATTGTCTATGTGGACCTAGCAGCCACGGGCCATGCTCGTGTGCATGTGAAATCTCCCTTTGGCGAACTAAGCTTCCCAGAGCTGGACGTGATGATGGACGAGGAAGCGCCAGGCTTGACCGAGTTCTTTGCGGATCAGGAGAGCACGCGAGGGAAAGCGAGGTGAATTGTTGCGAGGGGAAATGATCGAAGCCAATCAAGCAAATAAATCTAACCAATCAAGCAATGACCCGAAAGGAGAGCTTCAGGGGTTGCTGGCAAATCAGAACTTCAATTGGTGGTTTCTGCTGGGGCAGAAGATTCTCTCCCATGTTTCGCGCCAAATGGCCGATGTCCAATCCCTTCCTTACGTCCAGCACTTCTCGAAGACACTGGCAGGAGTTTGATCAGGAGGTTGAGGAGGAATATGCCACCAGGACACCGGAGACCGGATAAGAATTGAGAATTCAAGGCAGTGAGCTTCTATTAGGTTGGAGGCCATCGCTACTAGGTTGGGGGGCATCGCTATTGGGTTGGGGCAACTAGGTTGGGGGACATTCCTATTGTATAGGTTGGAGGTCATCGCTGTGAGGCTGATAGCACCAGATCTCACCTGCCAGAGTCTTCGGGGGGCTTTAAAGTTTTAGGTTCAGTGGGTTTCCTCCACCTTACTGACAGAGCAATTGTGGACGGTTCACATTGTCACTAGTGATATCGTTAGTGCTGTTTGACAGGAAGATGTCAAGTAGGTATGACTTCTTTGCAAAGTCGATGTTTTGAACTGGAATTCACCTGTCAAGAGGGAAGTCTACCTTTTTCAGAACGTGGGTGTGAGTGTCCAGGGCACGTTGGGACACGCATCCGATGTATGTGCCACCCACGCTACGCTTGCGTATCCAAGTGCTTGCTCGGTGCAGGATCCCAGCCAGGAATGGTGTTTGGCCAACTGTCAGCAGGTCTCTTGGCCTCCAACCTACTAGCGATGGCCTCCAACCTACTAGCGATGGCCTCCAATGAACCCAAGGCTTGTTTATAGGTCATTCTTTTCTTCCCATTTTTTTGTTTTTTGCTACACAAAACCAAGGTATGAAACATCTACTGGCGATGGTGCCTTCACATTTGCTTCAGCAAGCTTTTTTCCTTTGTTTTTAAAGCAAATCTGAGCCATGCTGGCACATCAATTTACTACAATCTCCTTGACAGAAACCATGGAAGCTATCGCTTGGACCGGGCCAGAGGACTCTTTGCACCAGTCAATCGCCGGCACCAGCACTTGGGACCCACCAATGGTTCAGCCCGAGACACTGCTCTCTAGCTTTCCAGTTCATTGATTTGAAAAAAGAATTCTGTCCACTGAATCCTCTGAATCCTGACCAACCGGGAATTCGAGGATCTCAAAGTTCTGTTCGCATGTGGAAGCTGTCACAAAAAGGAAACGCATCTGGCAGTCGCTTCCGAAAGCGCTGGGAGGCTTCACTTTATCTGGAGAGGTCTCGGCTCTGAACCGAGTCCTGGCCCAGCTTCGCTTCACGCCGCCCGCGGATTCGCCCAATTCAGGCAGGGCTGAGAAAGGGCCCTAAGAGCTGCAGAGGTTTCCAATGGTCTCCATTTTTGTCATGTTTGTGGAAGATCGGTACAACAGGACTCTGCAGCTCCGTCATTCACAACTTTTTGGTGGAGGAATGTTTATGTTTGTTTCCTTGTTTGTTTCCCAGAAAAAGACACACGGGTTGCACGATCAACCTGGGGCAGGCCTCCAACTGTCATTCTATTGGGCAGTCATTGTGGTTCGGTAGCAACGGGTCTGACAATCGTAGGGGTCGAATTTGAGCCTCAGGATTGTTTTAGAACCAGGTCATTTTGATATACTTCGAATCTCTCCAACAACTCCCTTCGACCCCTTCGGCATGCTTTTTTTCTCGAGGTGCTCTCACGGTGAGCCTGCAGCGGACGCCCTCCTCCGTGGACTGGGAGTCCGAAAGCTCTGCGGGCACCTTTCAGACGGAAGAGGTGTTGGCTCAGAAGGAGAGCGCGGCGCGCGGCGAAGTGGCGTGGGGCCAGTGACTTGCGGTTTTGGGTCTATAAGGTCCATGAGCCTGATAGGGCGCGGAAGACCGGAGGCACATCCAGATGTTTGGATAGAATCGGCCTTGAGCCGCAGCCCGCAACGTGCAAGATGCACCTGGAACTTGAGATTTAAAAGCCATAAAGTGATGTGTTGCAGAGAGCTGGTCAGGTTCTTGCAGCCAGGACTTCGCTGTAGCCATTGAGCCCTTGGCCAAGTCCAAGTTCACCTGTTTCATCGGCGGCCCTGCCGTGACCTTCGTGAACCCAGGTGAAGAGTCGCGAGACGGTGGAGTTACAGCCTCTCGGTGCGATGCCGTATTTGGAACGGGTGGAGTTTCTCTGGCGGTCGTGTTGAATCGAAAACTTCTTCAGCAACAGCACCGGCCTCAGAGCTGGCCTTTGTTTTGATGCCTCAGTTTTACTTTCCAAAGAGGTGGGAATTAGCTTGGAGTGAAGGAGAAGGAGCCTCTCAGCTATCTGGGGAACGACTCCTCCCATCCTCACATGTTCGTGAAACTCAATAGGGCCTATCGAGCAGCTGTCTTCTCGATTTGATTGTATAGACTTGATCAAGGCATTCCGAAGGTCGCATTCAGGCTTTGCACCTTGACCAAAGTGACTAAAGGCTCCATCCCTTCTGTATAGATAGACAAATGGTCGAGCAAATTTCTTGTAAAAACTTCTCACCCACTCATAAGCCTCTTCTCACCACTCGGCTGCAGGTCTACCCGGAGGCCTCTGCATCGGTGGAGGTCACTAAGGCGGTGGCTGAGGAGCTGCATGAGTTCCGGGTCTCCGTGAAGCATGGCACTTTAGGCGCCGAGACCTCGGGACGCGGGGACGGGATGTTTGGGGTGAAGTTGTTACCTAAGTTAGCTAGTATGGTTCCTAATAGCTTCTTGCTCCTAGTAGTAAGGCCAGGAGCCCCTAGTAGCGTCCTTGCTCCTAGTAGCGATGCCCTTTGCTCCTAGCAAAGGAAGAGAGAACAGATAAGGAAATCGTCCGCAGCAACCTCAACCAGCATGACTCCACCTGATTCCGTCTGAGTCCCGACGCCGAGCGTGAGGGCTGGATGTGAACAAGTTCCCCGCAGCGCGGATTTGTCCGCCCTTCTATCCCGATGTGGGTGGATGTGCGCAAGACGAAGTGGACGCATGGGTGATCTATGGGCGGATTGCCGATGCAGCCTTAGCACTGGAGTCCCTGGTATATACACCACCCATTGGAGACTTGGAAGATCTGAAAGATGGCCTTTCATGCTCCTAGTAGCGATGCCAGGAGCCCCTAGTAGCGTCCTTGCTCCTAGTAGCGATGCCAGGAGCCCCTAATAGCTTCTTATGTGTTGCCAGAAGAGTGCGACCTAGAATGCGATATTTTAGGCAAATAGGCTGTGACACCTAAAGGGGGAGGCCAGGGTCCCCTATATAAGGGGGACAGCCTCCTTTCGATCTTGTGGTGTCAAGTGTAGTGCAGCCGCCGACCGGGACTAGCAAGGGTTTGATCAAATGAAAGCAGTGATGCTTCCTCAACTGACCTAAGGATATGCTGGGCAAGATCTGATGCGAATTACTGGAAGCTGCTCTGAAGTGAGTCTAGTGCCTTGGATTCTTTTGTTCAAGGGCACCACCAATGTAGGCCTGTTTCAGGAAGCTTCACTCAACGATTCCTCCAGAGCTGGATTCATTGATTTTCTTGTTTGGTGGTTCATGAAGGGTCATTCTTGACACACCATTCGGAAAATGGTAAAAAAAGAGACCGTCCACAGGAATTGAACAGGTCTGCAGAGTTGGTGGGATCTACAGGCAACTGAACGTTTTTGTCCATCTGAGGAGGTGAAGATGAATATCATCAAAGGCTTCCTGCCACCAGTGGTCCGCTGTTGTGAGCACGAGGTAATGGAGGCGCCTGCTTGTGTGAGTGTATCTCAAGGATCAACTATTGTTCTATGCACTTCTCGTTTTGTTCACTCAATGCCTTCACTTTTTGGTGGAGTTCCCTTTCCATGGCCTTTGAAGACTCCAACAAAAGGGTCAGGAGTGGACAAGTTGGTTCAAGGGATCAATTGTGAGCATCAAGAAATTACATGGATCAAGATTCCTCACTTGCTTCACTTGCCTCCGCAAGCTGTGGAGTTGATGCGAGTCTCAACACAACCCTTGAGAAGGTGCATCGGGCTCTGGAGCCAGCACCTGTGCCGCCCGCGATCTTGGAGAGCAATGCCTATGGGGAGTCTTGAAGAACAATGCCAGTCTTGTGTGCCCAAAGTGCTAGACTTCAAGTTGGCTTCAGAAGCCAGGTATGTCCAAAAAGGGGGGACATAGCTGACCCTGGAGCTGATGAGCTGACGATGAACTTTGGGCCGCTCTGGCCTTTTGGAAGATAGACCATTTGGACTTCGCTCCACAGATGCTGTGAAAATTGCCCATTGTGCACGTCAGATTGGGAACCCCCAAGTCCACTGAAGTCCAGTAAAGTGGGAACAAGGCCCCATCTTGGTGTACCCAGTAGATCTGCTACCGCTCTGCTTCTCTTAAGACTCAAACTGCCTCGCAAGTGTTTATTTTTTGTGAGATCCTTGGGATCTCAGGTACCGTTGGCCCAAAAATGGCATGGACCTGCTCTACGTGGTCTTTGTTTTGTGCACATAAAACCTCCAAAGTGGCGATTTGTTGATCTTCACCTCCAGAGATTTTGTAGATCCTGTCTCACCCGGGCAAGCAATTGTTGGCCATCTAAGGAGATCCCTGCAGTGGCGCAGGTGAGATTCACCACTGATCTTGGGCAACTGGCCTTTTGGCCGGTGCAAGGTGGGGAATGTCCAAGTTCATGACCATTGCGATCTTGCAAATCTCCTTTGGGAAATTTCAAAACGCAACAACAATTTATCTTGGGGAATTCCAAGTTCCCTTTGTGATAGCTGCACATTGTATTCCTCGCCATTGCCATCAACATAATTTATCATCACACTCCATTCTTTCCTTCCCCAAGAAGCTTCCAGGCCTCTACTTTGACCATGGCTTTGACGTGGCCCCCATCCACAACGTCTCCTCGCAGATTGTGGCGGATGGCCCTGGTGCCATCGTCCAGCACGGCTTAGGCTCTAAGTTGGCCTTGCTCCACATCCCAGAGACGGAGCCACGTGTGGAGGGAACGCTGGTGGTAGAGGCCAGGGCCTCTACGCTGGCCAGAAATCCAAACTGCTGACGAAACGAGTGGTTGGAACCCAACATCTACCGGGCACTCATGGGAGAGTTGGTTAGACTTGTCCTTCCTAGATCGCCTGTCAAGTGCCTGGCCTGGTTTTGAGGTTTGCATCAAGAGGTGTTCATTTAGTTCCGCTCACCTCAGCAGTGGTTGCGATTCCTCAAACATTCTTGAGCTTTTTGTTTGTGGGAGCCTGGCAGGTTCTTGATGCCCGATCTGGACTTTCCTCTTCCTGCACCTGTCCCATCAAAGTGTCGGCTTATCGGAGAGAAGGCCTTCCGCTCATTTCCATCGACATGCCCACACCCAACACGACTTTCCTGTTGTGTCTTGCACTGCAGAAGACTTTTGCCAGAGTGTTTTGGAGTGTCTCGGGACAACCCAGCTTTGCTGCCTAAGTCCACTCTCCCAAGCTGCAGCATGCTGTTCTCATGCAGCTCATGAGTTCTTTCAATCTTCTCCACAGCGTTGGGTGTGATTATGTCAGGTATTATCAGATGATTCAGTGATGATTCATGTGAGTTTAGTTTTGAGTATGCCTAGGCCGAAAATGGACCTCCCCACAAAGTCCCAAAGCCACACACAATCATGGTTTCCACCCTTGGTTTTGCGTCAGTATTTTTAAAGAAGTGTTGTAGACCTACAAAGCCACCCTGAATTGCCCATAGACATCTACAAAGCATCCCATGAATCTCACACCACCATGAATGGCATGTTAACCCGCAAAAATCAAACACCACTACATACATATATACATATACATATATACTAGTCACTATACCTAGTTGTGAGGACCTTCCTTGTCGTCCCTTTTTGGCCATCGCATCCAGAGGTCTGGTCTGGGTGTGCGGAGCTGGGAGCTCACAGTGCCATCCTTTGGGCTCATCTCGGCAGCTTTCAGGAGATCCGCTGCCCCGGTCAAAGCGTTGTTTCACGGATTCCGTGGCAAGCCAGCAAGATTACTGATGGAACTTCGGTATTCTCAAGAAGTTGCAGCCAAGGATCTAGCTAGAAACATCATGAAACATCTACACTGCTCCAATCAGTAGCACAGCCGCTCATACTTTGCCCTTAGAGTTCAGCTCCTTCCTTGGCCTCGTGGCCTCAACTCTGAGCACACGTGTTTGCGAAGTCAAAGGACTCCTTGCTACGTGAAGCTCTCTGTGCCTCGTGGGCGGCTCGTGCCACCTGTCCCTCCACCGTGGCGACAGGCCGCCGAGTGGCGTGAGGACAAGCAGGGCAGCTATAGCCTGCTGGCCGAAAGTGTGGAAGCTCCTAGGCGGATTGAATTGAGGTGTTTGGTTCCCTTTAATAAGGCACCCTTTAAGGCCCAAACACAATTTGTTTGTCTTCACTTCTTAGCTAAATGCAAGACGTTGAATTGTTTAGTCTTAACATGCTTTCTTCTTTCTTCTTTCTCTCTACGTTTCATCCGATTTCATCCCGATGAACATTCAGTACATTCCATTATTGAATGGAGTTGCTGGGCATCGTCCAAGGATGCTTCAGATGTCGTGGGGAAGTTGCGCTTCTTGATCCAGGAGGAGGGGTTTCACAGATCAATCCGGATCCCATTCTTTTCTTCGAAACAAAAAACGGTGCACCAAAAACGGTGCTCATATGATACGCCTGTTGCTTTGAGCATGGGGAGATTTCGCAGCAGCAGGGCGCTTGTACGAGGAGGAGCTCGATTCCCGAGAGCCGCTCATCCTGGCAATGTCCATTGAGGTGTTTGCGTTGCCCAGCGGTCAGCAGAAGGACCTGGATCAGGTGGGCATTCTGTGTTGGTCACAAGGGCCTTTTGCATTGAAGAAGTCAAAAAACCAAGGAGAGGTCTTCATGCATTTGTTCGTTCGAGATTGGGTCCACAACAATTATACAATAGGTGGACAGGAGCAGAGCACTGCAGCCGAAAATACCACGACACCCAAAAGTCATTCCCGAAAGAGCTTACCTGCCTGAACCACGGTTTTGTGAAAGGCAGTTCCAGCAATGTCAAAGTTCAACTACTGTGCTTGGCATATACATACACATACATACACACACACACTGTACAAGAATGTTTCTTACACTAAAAGCAGGAGGTCTATATCCATCAAACCGTTTGAGACACCGTTTGAGAGCAGGTGTTTGTCCTGTGCCTTCCAGGCGATACTGAGAGACCAACGAGACATGCAGCTGGAGATCAGGACTGAACCCTCCATTCCGCAACTTTGGATGATGACCAAGCGAATGGAGACTTGCCACGAACAAAATCACTGCACGTGAAACAGGGACTTTTTATTTTGACCAAAGTTGATACGGGAGAACCTCTCTTCTCCTGTCTCCTCTTGATGTTACAGTAGTTAGTCTGGGGACGTATCTGACAAACAAAGCCTTTTGAGCAAATCCAAGGAGATCCAGCATGCTGAGCGGATCAGCTTGGAGCGGTTGAATCTGCAGCTACTGCAGCAAGGTCTGCATTTGTGGGCCACACGTGTTGGTTTGTTGATTTTAGCCTCGACCAAGGTTGACTCGGTCGCTGCCTTTCAGGCGATTAGGATGACAGTACACATGCCGCGTGCGTGCGATGTGCCTCACGTGCCGGTTGGAAGGGCCTGAGAGAGAGAGAGAGAGAGATCTCACATTGAGGTTGTTCGTTTCTCATTGAGTCCTTAGTTGATCTTCACATCTCTGAGACCGTTGGTTCTGAGGTATCCGAGACCGTTGGTTCTACAGCTCTCCTGTGAGGCCTGTACCTTCTTTGATGAGGACCTTTGGCGAAAGCTGACGACATTTCTTCCACTGAACCAAGCGAGCATGTACCTCTAGCAGGTAGGGCCAGGATGCCAGGATCCTTCAATTTCAGTGTCGAATCAAAAGAAGGAGCCTCTAATAGCGCCCTTGCTCCTAGTAATTAGCGATGCCAGGAGCCCCTAGTAGCTTCTTGCTCCTAGTAGTAAGGCCAGGAGCCCCTAGTAGCGTCCTAGCAACCCGTTTGGAAGAAACATCAGGAATTTTCCTCGAACAGCACCTACCAAATCACGGGCATGGCGTCAGTGCTCCAAAACCATGTGGCGCAGTTGCAGATGCAGGTGCGGCACCGGAGGAGAAGGGTTAGCTCGGAAGGTCCGAAGCCAAACACCGCAACGTCCCAGACATTTTTGGTCTCCCAAGAAGTGGGGTCCACACTGGCTAACAAATCTCCCAAAGACATCTCAAGACCATTGGCTTAACACCAACCATCCGAATTATATCCGAACAACACCCCCATGTTTTTTAGGTCATCATCCGAACAACATCTTCACGCGCTCGTGTTTCAGGTGACCTGTGCCGTGTGTGACTTCGAAGAACTTCTCGTGAAGGCTTGGGACCCTGAGACCCTTCAGCTGCCGAGCAGCCAGACCGATCAGGCGACAGGGGTGTTTGGGCCGTTTCTCGTAAACACTAACAGATATGTCTTGTGGATCAAAAAGTACTCCTAATACAGACTTGCTACATCTTGCTACTAAATGGAATAAATTGAATCCTACTTAGGTTTAAAGAGTTGTACGTTGTACACGCCCCGATCTGGTATGAAGCCCGAAGTTCCTCCGCTGGCAGGGCAACTTGATCGTCCAAGTCACCTGCCCTGTGATGATCGAGACCAGTCCTATTGCCAAAGGGCCTCCCTTGTTGCGGGTGCAGAGCTCGGGCGTTGTTGTACAGGCCGGCGAATCAGCAGCTGGACCAAATGATGGGGAATGGACCAAAAGACTGGGTACTCCGTGAACCGCTCCAGTTCTCAGTAAAGCCAACCAAGTGAGCAGAGTAGGAGGCTCGTAGCTGTACCCGCATTATCAGATTTGAAGCCCAAATGGCAATGCACATCTCCACGGGATTTAGAACAGAAGGATGCCCCTGATTGGCACCTGGGTCATAATAACTTATACTTGATTGGTAGTAGCTCATGGCATTCCACGATCTAAGGTAGATCTGAAGCAGCTCGGTCTCCAAAGTGCAGACCCAAATGAACCCTTGGGCTTGCATGCTGTGGTGGATCATGTGGAAGTTCGACTGTCCAGCAGACAAGGCAAGGCCCAAAAATGCTCTTGGAATGAGTGCGAGAGATCACGGGAAAACTAGGCCATTTCAGTTGGGAGAGCGTAGGGTTTGGATGGGTTTGGTGTGGAAAGACCTTCTTACCTTAGAAGCTGCACAGCCGTTTGGCCGGGGGGTGTTGCTGGAAACATCTGAGCCTGTTGGGCGATGAGCAAGATTCAGATCATTTGTGAGAAGCTGAGCTCCTTCACTAGCTTTGATGATCTATGGTAATCGGCCCTAGTATTAGTAGCGTCCTCGTTCCTAGTAGCGATGCCAGGAGCCGCGTTCGTAGCGTCCGATCGCTCCGTTGACCTCTAGGCACCCTGGAGATTGATGTGGCTGCTCTGGTTGGTGCTACGGAACCATACCTTGCAGATGCAGCCGACGGAGCATTTACGGCGAACACTTGGAGCCAGGATCAGGTCCAAGTAGCTGTCACAGGAGCAGAGATGTCTGGCGAGCCCTTCAATGTGCCTTGGCATGGTGTTGAGGTGTGGAGCACCTACCCTCAAAGGAGGCTAGTAGGGGCTCCTGGCCTTACTACTACGAACAAGAAGCTACTAGGAAGGACGCTACTAGGGCCGATTACCATACATGGTGTTGAGGTGTGGAGCACTACCCTCAAACTTCGGATTTTGTGCTGGGGTTTTTGGCTCAGAACGTTTTCCAATCACCGCGTCAGCTGATACCTCGACTTTCGCGCCCAGATACCATCGACCAACCGCCGCGTGCCATACGTGGAGCCTTCGCGGCCAGCGAACCCAGAAAATCGCACCTTGTTGGATGCCAGGGGTGCCCTTCGGCCCCCACGAGTCTTGTGGACGGGGAAGAGCTTGCGGCTGAGAGGTGGGGCGAGCGCTGGCTTGCGCGCTTGCGCGTTTGGGGGGAGCAGATGGCGTTCGATTGAGCTTAAAATAAAGACCAGCTGAATCCAGGATTTGCACGCCTGGCTGAGACCTTTCTTTGAAGATGAAACGTGCTAGTGAGTGGTGGACAAGGTAGTTTCGTTGGTGGTGCTGGAGCAAGGGTCAAGACTACGACATCTCAATGGCTTTTGTCACTTCGTCATGGTTTGCGATGATTTCCCGAACAAGCCTGATTTCTTTCGCATGACTTCTCTGGCCTCTGAAAAGAGGCCCAGCTGTCCAGATGCAGATGACCTTGAGCAGTGTGAAGTACACGGCGGACGAGAGCGGCGGAGGATGGGACACAGTGACGATGTCCATGGGAGTCTTGGGAGTGACGGGACCGGGGCCCCATAAGTGGGCCTTGAGACTGTGAGTGGTATGTTTTGGATGAGACTTAAAAAGAGAATATCATAGGACATGAGAGGATA